ACAAGACAACTACTATGGCCGACGACTTCGGACTAGGTGTGTTCAACTAAGTCGCCCTGACAACAAGACCAAGTTGCGAAAACGAGGTCAACCCACTTCTATAAATCGAAAGGAGACTGCGACCATTACAAAGGCCACAACATCTTGGTCTTCATATATTCAATACAACTGATAATGTTACTTATACTTAATATGAATATCCTTCGGAGCTGTCAGTAACTTTTTTAATGAGGAGAAAAAATGTACGAATGAGAGGCATAGCGTATCCTATTCGCGGAATAATTAAGGCTCATGCGTGTATACCTCTCATTCAGACCACTCCTTCATGTCGACCAATCCAATCACTTTGCATCACAGCAAGCGCAGTATCAAACCCATCGGACCACGACCTCCCGTGACACCGCGCAAGGATTCCAGCGGGAAGTCAGCATGATTGAAACACACTTCATGGCTCTGGTTGAATTTCGGCAATCGGCCTACACTCGCAAATATTTTAGCATCTTAGCCTTCAACCACCGAGTTTTATCTTTTTTCGAGATCCGCCACCGACTCAAGCCGATAGTAAGCACTAATTTGCTGCTAACTCTTCTTGTGTAGCTGCCTATAGAGCATCGGTCTCTAGCTTCTGACAAGGTGGGAACCGGAACCTTGGGAGAAAGATATGCATGAATAGCAACAATGGATGAGCTGACTACCATTTCGAATGAGAGTGGGTAATAAATCGATTCGAAGCTCTATCCCACAAGAAGGCGACGGCCGATCTCTTTTGGCTAGTTGGTGGATTTACTTTACTGGAATATTTTGGTTCACGCTGTACCCAAGGCAACCTCAATAAGCTACGGTAAAAACGTGCTAAGCTTTTTTTAACCCAATCCGAGGCGATCCTCTGGTTTGAAGAAATGAACTCGAACAGATTATGGCAGATGACACAGGACTGGGTACGTTCCATAAGGTCTCCCTGACTCTCCGACCAGGTTGCAAAAACAAGGTTGAACCAACACTATAAAGCTAAGAGAGACTATGACCAAACAGAAGGCCACGCCATCTTGGTCTTCTTATTTACGATAGAACAGACTAGGCTAACTTGGTGTAGATGAAGAAATAATTTATATGTATACAGATATATATATATATAGATAGATAGATAGATAGATAGATAGAAAGTGAGAATGAGCTAATAAAATAAATAAAAAAGTAATGAATTTAGATTACTAGTTAAATTATGTCAACATTTGCTATTGCATTTTGCCTGGTCCTGCTTCCCAAAAGGTATTCTCTTCCAGGCTGTACTGGACAGCAGTTTTGACCCCATTCGAACTGGTATCATCAGCACCCCTTGGAGGAGTTGACTCTAGCTAATACTGCACAACACGAGACCAGAGACTTCGCAATTGACCGATAGTGCTACACAATTTCTAGGACCTGGCGATTCCAGCATTAGTCATGATCACTTCTGTCCTCTCCTTCTACCCTGGCCGCATTGCATCAAAGTCACTTCTAAGGTGGGCACACGGCCTGGCACAACATCAACACGGCTGATTTGTCCCATTGGGGTTCATCAACCCTTCAATTAGATCGAAGATAGAGAAACCAAGATGTTATGCCCTAAAATTTGTCCGCTACTTACTTTACTCGAATAGATTTGGTTTTAACTCGTTTTCTCAAATTAGCCGGAGCGATGTGATCTTAACGCTGGCCTCGAAGTACATTTACTTTTCTGGGATGATTCGTTTTGTTACTTTTTCCTGATGACCCGAACCTGACCTTAGGCCTTTGTTTTCGCTCTAGCTTTAGACCGCTATTGCCTATCGACATTGAGACACATACACACTCAACTGAGAGTACCATGACAAATGTGAAAGGGAATTAAGCAACTTATTCTATACATTTTAGTTTTTTAGTTGTCCGTCATATGATGGACGAACTAACTGCCAGTTTTCTCCCGCCAAATTTGTGACCACCATAAACATCTGGATTGCTTAATTATTTACTAGCCTTCATTCCTTTTGACGTTTAGGCTTTAATTTTATCCATATCGTTTACTCAAGCTAAGTTGTTATTCGAACCCATGCAGACCCAGATGGTGTGAAGGTTGATGGGGTCGCGGCCTCCTTTCGTTGTATTGCACTTGTGTGTCTTTATTTAACAGGAAATTGGTCAAAGAATCGAATTCGCTTGTCACTATGACGAGTTGTGGTGTGGTGCAACAAATGGCAAGGTTCATTGAAGATTCCGAAGAAACGTCCGGGCATGAAGCAAGTCGACAGTCCGACTCTGGAAAGGATCATGCATACTATGGACTCCAGACAAGGTGTGTTTATTGAGGCCTTCCTGCTAATATGAATAAGTTGAGAAAACAAGGTCGAACAAACTCTATACAACTAAAAGAGACTGCGACCAAACTACCTTGAACTTCATACCTTCCATTGGGATATTATTATTTGAGATATTATAGTTGGTAGCAGTTGTGAGATATGAAAACGAAGATGGTGTATGCTAAGCATGGTACCTCTCATGCACGATACCGTCTACGATGTCGGAGAAACGCATGCCAGCGCTACGATGCTGCAAATTATCGTGAATGCTAAGGCAGAGGACACAGAATTGGGCATACTCCAGACGACCTCTTTCTTCCCCCTACCAAGAAACATAGCGATGTCAAACCGACCTTTTAATTATCCTGTTCCCGGTCGCTCAGGGACAGATACCGTCAGACAGGAAAGACAAGTTATGTGAACAGGATGTCATCTGATAAAAGTCCACAGTCGTCATCGCAACTATGCCCTTTTGCACGGGTTAGCAATCGATATCAATCTGGTGTTGCAAATGCACATGTGTTACATCCCTCTTAGAGGTAATGGGCTCGATTCTGATTGGCTCCTGTTATACTGTTATTGATCTTCTCATGCATGATGGAGTTTCGACGCCTAGGTCGCTTGTGATTGGTCGAGGACGAGAGGAAGTACCCAGCTGGAGTACCGGCACACTTCCTGCGGAAGATGCAGGTCAACTCCTTCACTGTCGCAGCTGGCCGGAACAGATCTCTTCTCAGTTCGGCCATCAAGATAATCGAAGAGCTTGTAGCTCAAACATACACACACACACACACACACATACACATACACAAACAAACACAATTTAGGGCATCATGTACAGGCAAAAACAAGCAAGCAGTGCTCGTGTTGCCTCGGGCCAGCTTGTGCTTCAGGTTTGAGATCTGCTGGAATATCTTCTTCGCATCGCTGAATGGTCCGTCCCGAGGAAGCGTCAAAAGTTGGAGCATGGAGTAGCTGTTGTGCAATGCAATCATCTGGTTTTCTTGCCCTCGACGATGTTGACCCCTCGGCCGGTGAACAAACGAAAGAGACAAGGGGCTCAGAGGTAAACTTCGTGTCGATGACAGGATGGAGGAGAATACAACGAATTTGACCTCCTCGGAGAGGAGATTACATGCACCAATATTTGCTGTATCGGTTCCTGCAGGCCAGAGAGACCTAGACGATTTGTGCCGGTCTGACTTGAATGGTCGTTTTGTAGGTAAAAGTTGGTTGGCACGACTTTGTGAATTGGTCGGGCCAGAAACCCAAATAGGACTGTTGGGTTGTGCCGAGAAGTCCTCGACTCACTGTTCTGCGACTCCGATGAAACGGTCCCATTCGTTCGTTCGTCTCCTCCATGACAAAACAGAAGTTGCAGAAGAAGACGGCTCCAAACTCTGTTTCCTTATGGTCAACCCAAACCTTGCGTCGAAGTGTCAGCATCAATTGTCTGCTGAGCCTCCATCCATATTCTAGGCCTGCTGGTCGCAAGCGGAATTTTAACTACAAAAGCAGAAGGTATGTGTTCTCTAAGGGTGTGCGTCATAGTCGCAGGATTAGAGATACTAGCTGTATGATGTGAAAAGACTATGTATTGTTGGTATTTGGTAGAGTAAGAACCGATTGTACCGGACAGAATTGAAATAAATGAGAAAATTGAAGTGGTGACTAACATTTCTTGTGAAAAGGCTCATTGGAGAGCGATGTTAATCACTTTCACCAGAAGACGACTTATGATTCTTGTGCAGTTTTATGGT